CATGAATTGGCCTGATTTTTTTTCCCAATAATTGCTGAGCACCTGTTCCCTGAGAGTCAGGCCTCTTCGATCATCATCCCAGTCATTAATAATTTTAAGGTATATACCATAATTCCTATAAAACTCCTGTTCCTTTTCCTTACTAGCAATCACCACGTAAATACACAGTTTTAGACCAAAACTTGCTTCTGTAACCAAAATATAATCAATATCTTTTGACTGAAACATCTTATTTGGGCTTCTTTCAAAACCAGAATGGACTATTCATGTTTGAATCATACTCCCTTCTTATTATCTTTTAAAGAGCTTGTCTCCATGATCTATCATTTTGTCCAAAAATAAGCATTTTCTGAAGCAGCGTTGACCTTTTGGAAGATTTTAAGGGAGAGTATTTCTCAATCGTGGCTGTACAAAGAGCAGCGATCTATTATCCATGCATGCATACACTTTGTACAGCTGCTATGTATTCAGAAGGGCTAGTTGTTCCTTCTTTATATGTCAGCTTTTCAGCACTGTGATTCTGATTTGTAGATGGACTCAGAAAAGCTAAATACGGTGTGAAGGGTTGATGGTCTTGGGCTACTATTGAAGACGCATTTTGCTAGACCTTTCAAAAAAGGCTCTCCAGGAATTGCTTTCCCAGGGCCGGTTCTTGACAGTAGAACACCAACCTTTGTTGGTCCTTGATATTATCAAAGCAGTTGGCCGTGACTGGAGAAGCAGAGGACGGGGAGTTCAGTGTCTTCCGACAAGTCTTGTGAACTGGGAATGAAGCTTCTCCTCTGGTGTCCTCCTCCTGGTGTCTCTCCAGCTACTCCCAGGAGTTGTCCAAGCGCTGCTTTTTCTCATTGCTCTGAAGCACAGAGCAGAGTGAAATAGCTCAGGATCTTTTGGCTCTGTTAGGAGAGAATGCGGTGAGGTTTAGAGGGGAAGTGCAGAGGTGTGGAAGTGAAGGAAAGTGTGATTGAAGGGGGAGAGTTCCTACCAGTAAAAGCAGATTTGAAATGTGTGGAAGTTGGGGATGTATTCTAATGGGCAGCGTCATGGTAAATGCCATACAAAGCCTTTTGGGTATTGAACCCCTGGAAGCACCAAGGTGAAGATCTTGAAATGACATCTGAGCAGGACATTTCATGCTTACCTAAGGGATATCGAGGCTTTATCTAAGCTTATATTTGCCATATTCAGTCATTTTATAGCTGGGAAGCAGGTTAAGTCCATAAATAGCAAGCAGGGCGGGGAACCAGGAGCTTTGCCTGTGTGGCCTTACGCAGTCGGTCACGAGCTGGCTTTGTAGGGTGCTCCTTGCTGAGGTGTAGCCTGTTGCTTTGTCCTTTTTTCTCCAAACAGGTCTCGTCAGTGAGCAGCACACATAGTCCTTTTAGCCTGTAGCAAGGGCTTGTCTTCCACTGATGCAGTTGCTCCCAGAGAGCTTCTTTGCGTGGCTTCAGTTCAGCTCCCAGTTTGGGAATGAGCAGGATGATGGTTAAATCGGGTTTGCAGAGCATTTAGAGAGTAAAGGGGGAAAACAGCTCCAAGTGCAAAGCATTAATCATAGAATCATAGAATGTTTTGGGTTGGAAGGGACCCCTAGAGGTCATCTAGTCCAACCCCCCTGCAGGAGCAGGGACACTGCTAACTAGATCAGGCTGCTCAGAGACCCGTCCAACCTGGTCTTGAATGTTTCCAGGGATGGGGCCTCCACGCCCCTCTCTGGGCAACCTGTTCCAGTGTTTCACCACCCTCATTGTAAAGAACTTCTTCCTTCTATCTAGTCTAAACCTACCCTGGTTTAGTTTAAAACCATTACCCCTTGTCTTGTCACTGCTGGCCCTACTGAAAAGTTTTTCCCCATCTTTCCTATAGGCCCCCTTTAGGTACTG